ACACATACACACACACAGCGCCATCACACAGCCATCATTAAGGTGGGATGCAGTTCCTGTACGTGTGTATTGAACATGTACAGCCAAGTGGGGGCATGTCAGCTTTGGCTAAGCCAGACACACTCAAACAACAGCTCTGATACAGGCCAGAAACACAGCAGCAGGGCAAAGCATGGAGCAGAGGGGGAAAAAAAAAAAGATGCACATCCTAAAACTGACATGTGCTTAAATAACCAGCTCTGTCAGTGCAACCATGTAAAACACAGAAACTTCCTCACCAAAGCCTAAAGCCTACCAATATATGAATTAGGAAGTTCCACTCAGTTCTTTCTACAATGCTCTCTGTCTCCTCAATCATGCAATAGCTGTTGATTATAAAGGATGCATCTGTAGACCTCACAGAGAGCAGTGGCAACAGCATAAGGATGCAGCTGGGTCATTCTCCAGTTGGAGTGGGGATTCAGGTGGATACATCTTTAAAAAATCCATTTCGTTCATCCCAAAACTAAATAATCTTAATATGTCCATTAACATCTCCTGTTATCATATATGCAACAAGGAGAGCTTATTTCCAAACATATGTTACAGTCACTGGTGTTATATGAATGTGGTGTAACACCAGTGACTGTGACTCCAGTGACATTCTGGTTAAAACTGAGGATTTTGTAAATCGGGTACTCATTGGCGTCAGGAGACGCAACTGTGCAACTGTTTAAAATCATTAATAAAAATGATATTTGGCATTATTTTGACATAATTTTAATTACCCAGCCATTAAAGCACATAACAGTGACACACAGAAGTTGTGTGCTGCCTGATAAACAAAATTATCAATAAATTAATGAAATATAGTGAGTGTGACTCGCCTTCTCATGCCTTGAGATGCTTCCTCTCTGATGAGCCTTGATCCAAAGAAGCAGTTTAATAGAGCTGAAAATACTGTGTTAAAATGTGATAAGAGTCCTGATAACACCAGTGACCAAAATCTCTGAGACAAATGAATTTTTTAAATAAAATATATATTTTTAAATGTAGTACAACATTAATGAAATAAAAAGTAAATATGAATCTGTTTTATACAAATTCCTAAATTAAACCTCTTTAAAATATTGTCTTATAATAAAAATGGTTTCGCTAATGTTGAAAATTGGTTTTGTGATGGGCTGTTTTACAGATGCAGAGCGACTATGAAATTTAATCTTAGGTCAACTGTGTAAATGTACATACCGACTTTTGGAGCTGTGCCTTATATTTTAAGCATCTTTTTAAGCCCTGCAATCTTTGTGACATGGTTTCCCCTACAAATGGAAAATGATCCAGCGATGTAGGGTGTTCACCTCTCAGTAAAGCTCAACAGTGTTCTATAGTTCAGGCCTTAAACTGCAATCTTACAAGTTAGAGATGGCACAATATCACTGTTCTTTTGCAGTACTCATACTTAAGTCTTGAGTATCAGCCGATGACTATCTGATATTTTTCAAATTTGAAACAAACTAAGCTATAAAATGAAATATTTTATACAATAACTATATATTTATGTATTATGCTCAGACTGCTCAAAATCTATCACACCCTTACTGTTATAAGCTCATCAATGATGTTATAACATGACTTACATTACTTTGTATTTTGCAGCGCTACAAGCAATTCAACAGTCCTAAAAAAGATGTTTTTTCAAAGGTTCAAATGGTTCTTTATAGAGCACTCAAAGAACCCATGCTTAAAAGGTTCTTTGCATTTTGAAATGGTTCTTTGCACTGACGGAGAATGTATGTGGTTCTACATATCACCGAAAAGGGTTCTTCTATTGTTAAAAACTTAACAATAGCAGAGCCCTTTTTGGTGCTATATAGAACCCTTTTCAAAAACGTTCTATATAGAATCATATACAACACATTCCATCAATCTAAAGAACCATTTCATGAGACAAAAAACCCTTTAAGCATGTAAATGGTTCTTTGAGTGTTCATAATCTATATAGAAGCAATGTTTTTACTAAAGAAGCCTTGAAGAGTGTATGCTATTTCATGCTGGATTCATAACCAAATCAGATCAGATTCACTTGATTTTCTCCTTAGATCCAGCATTTTCTACTGATACTGTACCAGTATCGGATCAGTGCCATCTCTATTACAGATACATCACTCTACAAGGAGGAGTTGTTAAGCAAAGCAGGGCTGGGGCATTAAACCCTCATAGTATGGCATGCTACACAGATAATATCCATAGGATGTACAGCAGGGTCCAAAAGTCTATTATCACATTGAAAATCTAAGACCTTTTCCATGTAAACCTGGAAATAGACAACAAAAAAATTCAGAATTTTGAAAAAACTAAAGAATAAAAGATACCACCTGGAAAATGAAGAAGAAATGTTGTGCTGCTCTATTTCTATTTCCACAGTCAAATTTAAGTAAATTTGTGATATTGGTCATGTTTATACCTTTGTACAAAAACTTCCGATTTTTTTTTAATTGTTTTCTCCCTTCGATTGAAGCTTGAATTCAGACAGCTCTCAAGTGGATTTGATCTACTGATCATAGGCTTTTGCACAAACGTGTGGAGTTCATGCTAGCTCGAGTGCACACTGTCATTAAAGCAGAGTGGAAAACAGTAAGAAATTCTGAAATTCATGTAAATATTTCAAAAATTCCACTTTTCACTCAAATTATTAAGCTGATAATATAATTTGTAATGAAAAAAGAATATGCGATAAGAACAGAATGCAAAATAGCAGTATTTTCATCAGACTTTCTCTTTTGGATTTTACTGTATGTCTTTACATTTAATAAATGATACATGACTGTAGGGGTGGCAAAAATATATCACAATACTTAAAGATATATCCATGATTCAAGATATACATAAAGATACTTAGTTTTTCAGTGATTTGATAAGATTGTACAGACCAAAAAAAAAACACCAGCCCAATTTAAAAAATACTATCAAAAACGATTAATACAATTATTTTTATTCAACATTCCACACACTGTGCTGCACTACCGTCAGTGAGTCAGCTGGTATCTGTGTGTGTGTTTATGTGTTTTGCATGTGGTGAGCTGTGGCCGGCAGCTCTCTTGTGGCTTGACTTCACACCAGGAGGCCGTCGCAGCAGACGCAACCGTGTTACTTTATTAGCAGGCTGCTAATGAGGCATGGCTATCAGCCACATAAAGAGCCTGGGGTAGTGATCACAGAGCCCAGTGTCTTAACGCCAGGATAACTCACTCACTCACACACTCATACACTTACAATCCGGCAGAAACAGGCAGCAAACACAAACGCGCACTCACACACATATACACACACACACACACACACACTCCCTCTCTCTCATAAAACCGCAGGACTAGGCTTTTCAAATGGTAAATATATTCTAGATTTAAAGTAATACTGCAGTGTCTTTCAGCCTAATTTCTATCTGCTGTACCTGTACTATATGATTACCATGAACCAAAACCCTGTACTTGGGAAGAGATCAGGAAATGCATCAAATCAAAAGAAAGTTACAATAGAAGCCAAAGGGAGGAGCAGAAATCCCACTGACTCAAAACATACTTACAGTACAAGTCAATGAGAAGGTGTTTCAGTACATGCCCACTGGCTTCTATTACGTGTATGATACAATTACAGTGTTTTATTATAAGCGTGTTAGTAAAAAAACAGAAAACCTATTGAATCCAGACACGTTTACAACAAAAGCCACTGGGCAGTTGCTGAAGCATATTCCCATTGACTTCTACTGTGAGAATGTTTTGAGGCAATGAGTTCTCTGTTGATTTCTAAAGACAGAGAAATGTGTCAGATTATTATCCATAGCACTCGACCATTTGCTCAAGATTTCTGCAGATACTTCTGAGAAGGTTAGATATAAAAGAATCATCTTACATACAGAAGGGGAAAGTCACAGGACCAAGAGTGAAAACAGACGTTTCCAAAACTGGAGATGATGGATGATTTCCAAGACTGAAGAAACTGATTAACAGATACAGAAAAAAATGGGACTCCTAACAACCGTACAAGATCTGGTAGACCACCAAACCTGTCACTGTCAGATGAACAGTGCTTTCATCTTTGAAAAAGAAGAGGAAATAAAGCTCCACTCTTGCTTCAGATCTTAAAAAAACACAGGCATTTCTGTCCATTTTTTACTGTGAGAAGATGAGTCTGAAAGGATGTGTAGCTGCTACTGAGAAAAGGAAACAGACAAAGGAGCTTGTTCTCAGAACAATGGACTGACCACAGAGCCCAGACCTCACTGAATGACTGAACTTTGAAAGTATGGAAAAATATCATCAGAATTCCTTGAGAAACTGAAAGCAGGTCTCCCAAAAAAGAACAGCAGATGTAAAAACTGAAGGGTGGACACACTAAATTTGGACATATCTGATATTACATTTGGTTGATGAGGTTTCTGTGTACTTTTCTGTTAAATATATGTTTCCTGCCTTTTTTCTGACACTGAAAAATGAATAACAAAACTGTCTGTTTTGGCTGAAAGTTGAACAAATAAAAGGAAGGTCTCTAATGTTGTGTATATTGATAGAGTGCAGCTACACATGCATTGCATTAAACAAGGGAACATGCATAACAATGGACGTATCAAAGTATTACACACTTTTTATAATTGTGCTGAGTGGGAGAATGGAGGTCTAGTCAACTAAATTAGCAAATTTTGCTACATAAGCACAAATATGTAACAGACCCAACCGTCTTCAACACAACAGCTTCTGTGGAGAGCTGTGAGTGCAAAGCATTATAAACATTTTTTGTGTGGCGCTTCTAATGTCAGTCCTCCTACTGTAGAGCTAATGGGTACATATCATCCCCAGTCCTACACAAACACATGTAAAAGCTCTATTTAAGGTCCTGATGAGCATTTAGAGGATAGAAACTATCCAGAAACCATCATGGAATGAACATCTGGAATACAGCCATCTGCTTGACATTGCCTTTCAAAATAGGCCACTGATGAGCACTGAAACAGTGGGCAATCTCACCTGTATCTGGATAGAGTGCAAAAAGCTGCTGAAGCTGTTGGTCCAGTAGTCTGAGCTGGTTTCTCACGGCCTGGTTTTCCTCCTCACTTTGCTTCTTCTCTTCCAGCATCTTCTGCACCTCCTCACGGACCTCCTGCACCTCTTCACTTCTGCTGTGGAGAGTCAGCAGCGTGTGCTGCAACTCGGCCTTCACTTGTACCACCTCCTCCTCTCTCTGCTGCAGGGCCTGCAGTGCAAAGGGACAGGAGTAGAATGACCATCCTGAAATGATCTTCATGCAGATTTAGGCCTACAGTCTTAAAAAAGATTATTCTTCAAGGGTTCTTTAGTAAAAATTGGTCTTGTATAGAACCATGAACACTCAAAGAACCTTTGCATGATTAAAAGGTTCTTTGCATGATTAAAGCGTTCTTCAGATTGATGGAAAATGTGCATAAATGTGCTGTTGATGGTTCTATATAGCATCCAAAAGGGTTCTTCTATTGTTACAAGCTTGACACTGTAACAAAAGACGAATCCTTTTGGGTACTACATAGAACCATTTTCAAAAAGGTTCTATACAGAACCATCTACAGCACATTCTCCATCAGGTTGAAGAACCCTTTTATGATGCAAAAAGCCCTTTAATCATGTAAGTGAGGATGGTAAAGAAGTAAAAAAAAATGATGTGCAAGTATAAATATAATATACATAAATTTACAAAGAAAATGCAAATGTTGGTTGTATGTACAGTGAGAGCAGCATACTGTAAAATGGTAAGTACTGTCTGTGCAAATATCAATAGTGCAATCACATGTAATTACAAAGACCATCCTTCATTAATTCAGTCAAAACAGCAGTCAAGTGTAAGGTTATTTTTCTGTAGCTATGCCTGAAGAGATTGCATATAAGATAATCCAACTGCGTAAGATTGGGAAGCTGAAGTTTAAAAATGTGCGGAAAATTAAGTAACAAAAATTATTAAAAGATAAAGTGAAGATGACTGAATAACTGAAAGTGTTGAGGATTACTTGAATCATGAGCAGAAAATGTAACCAACTTCTAAGACTGAACTCTGAAGCTGTAGAAAAACATTCCTGCAGATTTCTTCAAAAAGTCTCCTTAGAACAGAAGCTGTAATAAAGGTAAAGAATGGACACACTAAACACTGAAAAATTTGATGAGTTTTTCTGTGTAAATTTCTGTTAAATATGTTTTCTGTTATTTTGCTAAAGCTGAAAAATGAATAACTTGTACTTAATAGCCATTTTATACTGGAAGTTCAATCAGTGAAGGGTGGTCTCTGACTTTTCCACAGCACTTAGTAGTTAGATTCGGAATGAATTCCGTTCCATATTAAAGGTTAGGAGTCTGCATTTCTGACCTTTTTTCATTTGTTTTGTTGTCAAATGTAAAGAAACCTGCATACAACAATAACCTTAAAATGCAATTATATAAGTAAATAAGTTTGTAGTTGTGCAATTAATTACGCTCACATTCAGTTTACAAAAAATGACAAAAACAAGACTGAACACACAACAATAACTTCAGTGAACTCGTCATAATTAAACTTTTCTTCTTCTACTTACAAACACAAATGTGATATTTATTGAGTGACAAAGTTTAGAACATACACGTTGACATAATTTCTCATTGAATTTTGCTTCTAGTTAATTCAACAATATGTAAAAAAGAGCTGCTTTGACGTTTTTGAGGTTATAGGGAACCTAGCGTGGTTGAGTGCACTTGTATTCTGCGATTTTGGTAGCTAGAAGCTCAGTCTTTATAACTTTGTCCTTCATGCTGCAGTGAGTGGTTATAGTGTTTACAACTAGTGCCATGCAGTGAGAACCATAAGTGCTGCTACAGTGTTTGGAAATGGCATACTAAATAGGCCCTACAGTCTGTGCCCACCACTATCAATCTGGAATTTGCATTTGTGTCCATTATTATTTAATTACCCTAATTACACTCATGTATGTAACCATCCGGCCCGTTACAGAACGTGTCTATGCGTAAACCTGAACGCACTTAGCATGTATTATGCATGTTAATTTAAGCGTCTTAATGCGGCCCCATTATTCAAAACGCTGAGCGCGTGCCAACGGCCACTGATGCGACCTGACAACAAAAAACATGCCACTGGGGGCATGTTCTCATGCTGGAACACATGTCTGGCGCTCGTGGCTAGGCTGCGGTGAATGAGAGGCTATTATTTCATGTCAGGTGCCCATGAATGGCTGGCGCTCTCACTTGGCACGGCTCCACATCTCCATTCTGTGTCAGTCTGCCAATCATCTGCTTCACTCATTTGAATATTTAGTGTCCTTTCATGCTTTAATTGGAGTCAATTGCATTGACTTGGCACGTTTTTTTTTTGCTGGAAATTAATCCCGGCCCTAATTTGTTTCTGTCAGGAAATCAAAGCCTGAGTGAATAATGGCAAATGTTATCATGGATCCTGCCGTCTTCAAATGTTCTGTCGATATATTTAACTAAAGCCTTTAATTATTTGTGCAGTGCTGTAGGTGAACATAAGTAAGGAAAGAACCATGGATTTAAATAGTGGTCATAAGTGCTAGCTAACAGTGCTAACATAATCTAAACACTTGAGTGGAGAGCTCTTTGAGTGTTTAATATGAAGTGTGATCAGGGATGGAGCAATACAGGGTGAGGAATTAAGGCGAGGTATCGAAATTAAATACTTTTTATGGTATTAGCCGAATTACTTCAATACTACTGAGCAGATGTGTGCCAGTGTTCAGTAATTCAGTGTTCTGCGATATTAAATATGCGCTGTAAAGTTATCATGAACCCTTTACAATATCATCACTGAAAGTTAGTTAAAAATTTGTAGTTTCACCAGAGGTAAAGCTGACACACAGAGTAAAGCTGCTTTGTGACAACGGCTGTGGTAAAAAGTGCTACACAAATGAAATGTGATTTGACTTGACTATGAGAACCTGTGGGTCAATAGGTATGCTTGTTCCAAAATCCTGACTGGTGACTGGCTGTCTAAACTGCATTCTGCATGCATGTTAGTGATACCAGCACTAAATGATTAGTCTGTAATCAGCTTTGTCCAGTAAATATTCACCTTCTGCAAATCACAATCATTTCTGCTTTAAGCCACACCCACTTTTGTGCTTCTAAAAGAAAATATTCAAAAAAGTATCACACTAAATACTCCATTACCCGTTCCAGGTGCCAGTGCTGGAAAACTGAAAACTCTATTTGGTTGTTCGTTGTTCTACACATGTACTTTTGATTCTTTACATGAAATATCAAATATTAATGTTAAATAATGACAAGCTAACAAATGCATTTTTTTTATTTTCCTGATTAATTGATTAATCAAAATCATAAATAATAATGGGCTGATTCATCAAGAAAGGAAATAATTTGTTGCAGTCCTATTTCTTTTACACAAGGTTGCGCAGTTCCAACATGTCAGCATTGTCTACTGACAGCACACTAAAGATATCCCCTTAAAATACTTGAATATTTGGTCACATGATTTAAAAACAGCTAGCAGCCATTCTGCATTGTTTTATTTCTTTACTCAAGAAGTACAAGATTTACAAGGTCATCTGCTACTGAGGAATGCAGCGAAAGGCAAAAGACCAAAAGCTAAAGGCAAAAGGCCAAAGAAGTACCTTCTGGCAGAGATCGAGCTGCTTCTGTAGGGCTTCATATGCCTCATTGGAACAACTGTGGTCACCCTGGTAAGATGTGAAGTCCGTCTGCAGCTGGAGACATTTCCCCTCATAACCACATATCTGTAACAGTAATACATGATGAAAATATTTATACATACATATATATATATATATATAAATGTTAAAATGATAAAAAATACATATATCTGTTAATATGTTGAAAGTGGACCACTGTATACAGTTAATGATTGACTTCACAAGCACAAACTCTGGGTAACACTTTATTTGAAGGCAATATAGGAATTTTATAACGCATGCATAAGCGTTGAATAAAACATTAATAAAGCAATGCTTCAATATTTTTAAATAGCTTATGCCAGTATTTGCCAGATGTCTTTAGATTTATGGTTTTATAAAATTAATGACTGTGTTGATATGAGGGGCTTAAACTAAAAGGATGGACATTTATTCTTTTTATGACATTGTTATAAAGCGTCATTCACAAGTAATGGAACTTGTGAAGTTCCGAAAGTAGAAGTACCCTTGGTAAAAAAACAGTACTTAAAAAAATATTTCTACTTGAGCACAAAATTATAAAATGGCTTGTTTCTAATGTACTTAATTATCAAAAGTAAAAGTACTTTGAGTTACTACAGACATTATTATACTACATATATTGTTAAGTTATTTTGATATGCAAGTTCTGTTAAGGAAACCTGTACAAACAACATCTAGCTGTAAAAGTATAAATTAGCAAACTCTGCAAGTGAAACAAAGATGAAAACAGGCCCTACAGTGCAAAGGCAAAGAAAAGCAGGCACAAATCTGTGGGCTGAGACTCACTCAGGCTTTGAGTCACTGAGATACTTATCCCTCAACAGCAGCGAGAGAATCAAACTCATTACAGAATGTAATAAAGAATAAAATACTGTCATTCTTCAAATCGGTAACTCTTTTATAACACACAAATAAAATTTTATTTGATTAAAATTACATTCCGCCGGTCTGACCTTGTAGGCAGCAGTTAAGTTCATACAAATTAAATTTCTCTGTAATAAAAAATGATTAATTTGTTGCCAGACATGGTAAATATCTTCAAAAAGATGCAAAACAAAAGTGACACTGGTGGTGCTTCATTTATTTCTTTTTTTTCTCCTTTTTTTTGAACCTCTGCCTTGTGCAGAATTACACTGGCTAACTGATATTAATGAATCTTGATACAGACACAAAATTGCATAGCCATCATATGGTGTGAGTAATGCTTGAGGATATTTTCGGGTATGTCCTGAATAGCCTAGGCTGAAGATTTGAAATATTGACAGGAATACCAAATTAATCAAAAAAAGACATTTATGAAAAATTCCTCACTGTTTAAAATCTGTCCCAAAAGGACAGCAAGAAAAGCAGAGCAGTGATCAGGGCAATAACTGAGGACTTGTATTACACAGTGAAAGGCACTGAGCTCAAGGGAATACTTTCAGGTGTTGGAAAAACTGGCCTGCTTTTGCTGACTGTCCACTTCCACTCTTAATCTCTGCATCTCCTCTTCGCACCAGAGGCTTCTCTCTTCTCGAGTCCTCAGGCTGTCCAGGGCGGCCTGAAGCTCCTCCATTAGCTGCTCCACTGCCTCTTCCCAGTGCTCCATTTGGCTGGCTTTCTTCTTGTAGCGACACTCCAGACTGGACATTTCATTTCTCAAACTGCTAACCTCTGCTTGGGCCTCCTCAGCCTGAGTCATGGACGCAAGAACATACTATTGTTGGAACAATAAGAACCTTATAAGACAATAAGAACCTTATAGAAGCAGGAAAGACAAACTTGAATATATGCTAATTCTTCCCAAATTTCTATATAATTCAATCGTTGAGATGTAGACAAAGTCACTCAAAGTGTTTTGAAGTAGGGGTCTGTCCACAACGCAAATATAGCCATTTCATTTACTATTAAAAACCACTAGTGAAGCTACACATGAATTTATATGTCATGCTGTTGATAAAATAGTGGTACATCAGAAAAAATACAATTTTGGGTACTAGTTTGCCTTACAACACCCTGCATGTACCATTCTGCCATTAATGGATTTTCAAAAAAATCATTTTAGGTCAAAAGCTTTTCTCAAAACTACTGAAAAAAAAATGTCTCAGACATCAGGCAACATATTTAAAACCATTTCAAGTAGATGTTTCTGTGAGATTGTTTTTAGAATGGAGCATTTTAGATTAAACCACTCTGAATGTCTTTGTTTACATCTTAATTTAATCAAGCAGAAATATGTAGCATCGAGAATGGTGATAATATAGTACATGAACACCAATCCACAATAAATCTATTACCGATATAAAAACACCTACCTGCTTCTTAGAAAGCTGTGCATCTTCCTCCATTCTCTGGCTCTGGGCCTGCAGCTGCTGAACTTTCTCCATGGCTGCCATGTATTTCTGTTTGAAGATGTCGGCTGTGGACTGGTGGCTCTGGGCAGACGTCCTGCTCTCTCTCAGCTCTTCCTGAACCTCCTCCAGCTGCTGCTTCACGAGGCTCATCTGACCATCATGCTCCTTCAACAGTTCCTCATATTCTGTTATCTAAACAAACCAGTACGCATAAAAATGGTCCAAAATGACTTAGAATGAAATTCTGCTGCAAAATTATGAACAATTTTCCTTAACTTTACCATAGAAAGGCCAAAATTATTATTTTTAAGTGTTTTGGGAATAGAAGAAGTCATTTCTGAACCATGTATCTTAAGGTTTTGTCATTGCTTTGCAAATACAAGGCATTCTGGATAGTAATGTTATGTGGTAATTCTTGATGTTGTAAAGTAAGGAAGCCCAGTTTGGACATTTCTTGCTCTCGCTTTCAATTCAGTTCAATGTGTGCTTTTTGGCTGATCATCTACATCAGTGGTCAACAACCCTGGTCTTGGAGGTCTACCTTCCTGCAGAGTGTGGATCCAACTAGTCTGAAAAATCTGCTTCGGCTAAATGACCGGCTGGATCAGATGCATTAGTGTTAGCTAAGGGAGCCAGAACGTTAGATGCAAGTCAGTGCTAAACTCTAAAGGAAAGTAAACGTCTAAGTGGATGGTTGGCTGCCTCTCACCTACAGCGTAATTTATGTTTTATGATTTAAATTTCTTTCTTTTCTACAGCTTTCTACAAATTACTTCAAACTGTGGAGTGGTAGAGCACTAACATCACACTATATAATCATTTTGTATATGTATCTGCAACAAAATTGGTTTATATTTAAAGGGGTATTTTGGCCTAAAACAAGGGCTGAATATGATATTTATCATGTTATAGTGACAAGCAATCCTGGCTTCTAGCCTAGTTACCGATCTTCAGGCTAACAAATACATCCAAGGCAGCATTAGCATAACTCTTACCTCAGTTGACGATCAAGACAGTAAACAGTGATTATAGCTTTAACACAAAATGAATGCCAGAGACAAGTCTTCACCCTTTCAGCCAGAGAAAAAGAGCCAAACTAATGGAAAGTATCTAGTTGTCAGGTAGCTACCCTGCCAACTTTAGCCTTTAGCTTGTTGTCTTCCTCCTCTGTCATTTGTGTCATTTGAGTAATCCATTCTCTCCACTGCAATGATGATTTGAAGACTGCAGTTATATCACTGCAATAAGCAACAATAAAAAAAGCAGCCCGACCCCAAACATTCACCCAAAAGGAGCTGTAGTTTTTCAAAAATATGATCAGAAGGGGGTTTACTAGTCTTTCTCACTCAAAAGACTACTGCACTACTGCGGCAGGAGGACAGTAGACATGTTTACAACAGATGTAGCAATGGTTAAATTCTTCATTTTGGCTGGAGTGCCCCTTTAATGAAAACATTCGTTCCAAATTTTCGAGCTGTGAGAGTTTTTGACATGTACCATGTCGAGTTCCTCGTCTGAAATTAATGTCAAAAAGCCAGAGTACACAAATGAACGCAATTAAAGCATATTTGAGTCAAACACAATCATCGTGATCAAACATTCAACAATCTTATTTTGCTTCTAATTTCATTTCGACAATTTTACATTCCAGCCAGCTTCAGTGAAAGCCCTGTTTTCATGACCTCACGAGCTGATGCCATTATAGCATTATCAGTGAAATGTTTTCATGGCTTTAAAGAGGTTTTTTTCTTTCCTTCCCTTTGATAAATGACTTAGAAAGTGTGTAATGACTTTGATATGCTCCTCTTGTGACTGTAATAAAGAACCTGTGATTAAAATGGCATTTTCCATTGGCTTATTAACAAGAGGGCCAACTGGCTGACCTTGGGGCTGCTATGTCAAATTTGCTGGCCTTTTTTATCTTTGTGCTGTTTGTGCCCATCACATGGTGCTGCTTTGCGCGGCATAATGAGGGTTTCTCTGCATGCCAACGTCCCACCCTGAGCAGCAGTGATCTGCAGACAGGAAGAGCTGCCATCTCTGAAAACAAATTAAGCATTTCTCCTTCGCCAGCATCATCTATTAAAGCCAAAGAGTTTCCCCAAACTGCCCTAAATACAGCTTCAAGGTTGTGTCCTGAACAAACAGCAGCACCCTTGTTCCCAAAACAAAGTAGGTTAAAAGCGTCCAGCTGCATGCAGCCTGTGCAAAACTATTAAGCATGAAGTTAAAGCCAACCTGAAAAGTGTCAGAAAGTCGCCCAGCAGTCCAAACACCTGCACAATGCCAACAGCTGAGCAGTGAGAGGAAATACATTATTTTAACAAAGCTCAACAAACTGATTTCTAAATGAACTCTTACTTACTTGTTCATTATTTAAGGGGAATTCCACAGATTTTTCAAAATTCTTGCATAATTCCCTTGATGCAAAGTCATTCAGAGTGGCTTTACATAAAGTGGCTAATTGCAGAGAAAGTTACAGACTCAGATTTCCTTACAGTGGTGGTGATAGGAACCAGGGGTCACCATGTCTACAACACAAATATAGTCATTTTATTTACTATCTGAAACCACCAGTGAAAGTACATGTGCCTTCTGAGCTTAATATGTTGATAACAATGATAAAATTGGGGAAAATCTTAAAACTAGGTTTTCTTTGGGGACTATTTTGTCTCACAACACCCTGCACGAATAAATTAAAATAGATGGATTAACTACACGTTTTAGTATATAATACCGCAGAATTTTTTTAAAAACTGGAGGAGTTTCCCTTTAACACTTAGAAAAAGTTTGTTGCTGCCATATACTATTCATAAGCAATTATATAATTACATATGTAATTAGGTAACACTTTATCAGAAAGCTACCAACAGAAGGACTTACACATGCATAAGCACTGAATAATGTTTTAAAGCAACATTTAAGTATTTATGAACAGCTTAAGTAAATTGAACATAAATACAGTTAATTACATAAATAACTATCTGAACGCTGTCTACATAGGGACTACATGAGACACACATAAGCGCTGAATAACATCGTCGCTGTCGCTGTCCAAAGAAAAAACAAGCCTCAATTTTTTCTAATTTTTACTTTTCTACATCATTTAAACATGGCAGCTGTTCTTTACACTGTGTGAAAATTTCATGATGAATGGACCAAACTAAAGGCTCCAGAACTGCTCCAAAGTAAAATCTCTCTACACTAACTTACCTTGAAAGTAATAAAAGTTTTACCCTCTCCTAAACAGCTACTATTTTGAAGATACTTGTTTTTCTTTGGACAGCGATGATATTTAAACACAATACTTAATAAAAACGTAATTAATGGTAAGGGTAGAATTAAGACTTAGTTAATTTATTTTTCATTTATCAGTTCTTCAAACTGGCTAGTTTGAGGGGATCAAAATCTTTCAATGAACTAATGATGACATGTAGTTCTTAACTAGGCCTCTGTCTAAGTTGCATCACCTGGGAATGATGCTTCATAACATAGAACAAACCCGTCACTTTAGTTTAAGGCACCTTATGTCATTTTCTTCTTAAAAATCATATCATGAGAATACTGACATAAGCTATGCATAAATAGTCAGGTATGCTGATGCATATGTAATGAAGTGCCTATGTATGTCACTTTCAAGTACTTGTGCAATTAATTACATTTACAGTCAAAATTAGATCCAATTAAAATCAAAACTTTCTCCATCTGTTTCAATGAGCTACAAGTGAGAATGATCTATTATTAAATGACACCATTCTGTTGTTATTGCTGTTGATAACTGAGGTTTCTAAGGTTATCAGTGTTGCAACATATTCATGTTGAATGTTTATGGTAAATCAAAGGAGCATACCTTCTCTTGGCTTAGCTGCAGTGCATGCCGGGACTGGTCGAGGTTGTCTCTGAGCTCGAGAAGAATGAGGCTGTGCTGAGCGCTCTGCTCCTGGACCTGCTGGAGCTGCTTCTGAAGCAGCAGGTTCCTGTGGCTCCAGCGTTCTGTATCAGCAGCATGACCCTGCCGAGAAGTGGTCAGTTCTCCCTCTGTCCGCTCCCTCCGCTCAGTCTGATGCTTCAGCTAGAAGATGGAAATGAAGCTTATTATGGATCTGGTGCTACTTTTCGGGTAGTTAGACATTACAATGTAGATACACTGTAACAGATCAGTGTCTGGTGGACTTTGTAGTGAGGATTTGGGAAATATTAGAAAGAGCTTAGGTTTGTGTATGTATGGATAAATGCATATTCAGCTAGACACACTACACTTCAAAAGCTCGGAATCACTGTTTTCAACAATATACAGTACAATACTGGGGCAGATAAATGTATAAAGTGTATGTAACATCATGTTAGTACTGTGCAACTTCACCGTTTCAAATCATTAACCCCTTAACTTATCCCGACCCATCACGGTTCCAGCACGTCTATAACAGCTCAAAAGCCAACGTGAATTGGAAATCATAAAGCATTTTCCTTTCAGAGTCTAGACCAGTGCCAGCACAACATACGCCAGAAATCACTGGGCTTCATTCACCAATATCTAGTTATAGATACTTAACCAATAAGTTTTTTTCTTAAATGTGTTCTTGAGAAAGTTCCTCAGAAAAAGTCAACGTCAGATTTATGATGTGTTCTTACCACAGAATTGTTCTCAACTTCGTGCTCTTGAGTGTGTGCAGATTCTGTTTTTCACTAAGAACAAATCCCAAATAAGAAAACACTGGTGAACGCCAGAATCTTTATGAAAACCACGTAATTGGGTTTTAAGAAGAAATTTCTCTTTAAGAACGACTGGTGAACGAGGCCCTTTCTTTTAAAGCAGATTCACACACTCTCACCAACATTCAGTATCGACAGAAGATTAAGAGAAAAGATGAATTTTGAATTTAAAGAGCTGTAATTGATTCTAAAATGGCAAAGAAATGTATATAATACTGAGAATGAAGTTTAAGTAGAATTGATATCCAGAGTAACTTGCATTTCAAAAAGGCTGATCAAATCTTTATCAGACTTTGTTTTGAAAATACCACATGCAGTATTTTTTTAATATCTATGCAATAAAGGTATACATGTTTATAACATGTAAGTCAAGGTGCATCTACAAAATAAGGTATTGTACAGGTACCTCCTTCATTCATCAAGGTTCAAATAAATGTACCATCAATGGTCCAACAATGGTCCAATTATGTACCTTAAATCATTTTTCCCAGGTGAAAGGTATGTATTTGTACATTTTCATCAGCTAACGTTTTGAAACAGAACAATGAAATAAAATGTCTGGAGACAAGACGGGGTGTGTGGAGTCAATACAACTTAGTACAGAACTGTAATGGATTATGGTACAATTATGTTCCCTAACTAAAGGTACTGAAGACTTACCCTCGAGGGTACCAGTTACAGGAGGACCGCCCCAGTGATAGTACAGTACCTTTTTTCTGAGAGTGTATGTTCTGCTTTAAATACTGCAGTTAATCCACTGTCTTTCATAAAACCCAGTTAAACTAGTCAAAAACAGATGCAGACAAACTAATCCATGAGGTGGAGAAAAATGAGCTGAATCACCCTTCCTCAATTTTTGGAGGACACTGCGGGCCTGCTGGAAGTTTCAGTTACTGTCATGTTTTTAACTGGCTGTGAGCTTCTGATACTGCTTTTAAATGTGTTACGCTCATGTGAAATATAGAGTTATTTCCCTCAAGCTGATATATTTAAAGTTTATGATTTGTAGTCCATGTTTTGTCTTGATGAGCAAACTGGATTTTCCAGTGTAGACATCCTGACGTGTCTGAGCTCTGATTTTGAAATCTTTATATGCAGCAGCATTCAACTTCCTTGCTACACTGCAAAAAACTGTATCTTGTCAAGTGAAATTATCTTAATTCTAGTTGAAATATCTAAAATGTATTATTTTGAGATTCTTGTGCACTAGAATTTTTTTCCCTGTTTTAAGTAATTTTATTAAGTTAAATAATCTCACTGTACTGGCAGATAATTTTGCTTATAACAGGTAAAAATAAGGAAATAAGCTAAATAATCTTAAAATAAATAACAATCTCAACAGGAGAAACATTGGATTTATCGACTAGATTTAGATTTAGAGAAGATAATTTTACTTGAAAAGACACTAATTTTTGCAGTGTAATCAGTTTTTGTGACATAATTACCTCAAAAAAATTGTCTAAATTGTCTAAAAAACAACGAAGCTGCAGTAAAGTTTGTGGTATAATCACAATAGTAAACTTGAGGTTGTGCTATACCATCAGATACTGACACTGATGCGCTGATCTACGATGATACTTATGACCACAGCACACCAGCGTCATTATCTTGCGTCTTATTGTGTAATTTATTATTTGAATCATTTAACAACACTGAAAACAGGTGATTCCAAAGTTTTGAAGAGTAATGTAAATCACAAACTCACAAAATGCTTGATAACTATTTGATGAGGAAAAAAAGCACAAAACTAAACTACAGTGCTTCAGTCTGCCAGGGCTGGAGTTGAACACCTCTGGGCTGGTCTATAGTTGAGGTGCAGTTGACTTTAGATAACGTGTCTGGTGTGTGTGTTTGTCAGACAGGTGCTGTCAACCTGTTGCTGGGTGAGCTGCAGTTGACTCTGTAGCTGCTGCCTGTCCCGCTCTTTCAGGTCCAGTTGGGCGTCTCCTTGGCGACACGTCTCGCTCAGCTCCTGTAACTGCTCCTGCTGCCTCCTTACCCTCTCATTAAGCCTGCTGACCTCAGCCTCCTGCAGCACCAGCTACACACGCACACAGTGCCGCAATACACCAAAGTTCAACATCATCTGTATTCATAGCCTGGCTAAATATTGAAAATTATTCTGCTGCTTCCAAACACACACTCATGCATTTTTCATGAGTCGGTAAACAGATGGGTGGCAATGGCTGCAGGAGGGTCAGGGAGGACACCTACCTCCTTCTCTAAACACCCCCTTAGACCCACTCAGCACCTCATATGAACACCTAAAAGCAGTCCTAACAGTCTAGATGTACACACTCACCTACACACTGAACAGCAACACAGTCTGAAAAATTCTGCAACTCCACTTTTGGTCACGCTACACCTACTCATATATTAGCCTAATTAAGCATCGTTCTCTCTCCTCTCACCTCCTTCTGTGCTCCCTGAAGCTTCTCCTCAGAGACTCTGAGCTCCGTTTTCAGCTGGAGAATCACCTGATCCTGGCCAGCCACCTGGATATCACCAAAAGCTAATATCAAAACATCACATCCACATCCTACACTGCAGTAGTTTTTAAACTGAAGGTGTGAAAAGGGCTCTTTTTTGGTCCTTTACATTTGATGGCTTAAAATTTTTGCATAATTCAATTGTTCAGATATAAAGTCATTCAGAGTGGTTTGATATGAAACATAAGCATTTTAGAGAAAATGGTGATAGGAACCAGGGGTCATGATGTCTACAATACAAATATAGCCATTTTATTTATTATACAGTAGTGAATCTACATGCTCTTCTGAGTTTATATATATATTTCGTTGATCATGGTAAAGTAGCAGTAAACCTGAAAAATTATTTTTTTGTGGTACTAATTTTTCCTTATGCCCTGTATGTAGCTCCCCACCATGAATAGTTTTTAAAAATCCATTTTAGGCCAAACTTTCAAAACTCTCATAATACACTTCAGACTCTCATCATTTACAATAAAGTGTTTTACATCAAACTACTCTGAATGGCTTTAAAGAACCAATTTGTCCACAAAAGTCCACTTTTTTTTTTTGAAAAACTATTATTTTCAGTAAAACAACTAATTTCTGGACAGCTAAAATAAAAATGACCTTGCTTTATCCCTTTGGTCGTTTAGTGCTTTGACATTTTTATTTTGGCTGTCCAGAAATGAGTTTTACTGAATATAAAATATTTTTTCAAAATGAAAAATAAAGACTTCTTTGAAATAAATGACATAGTAGTCCATATTAATATCAATAAAACATGTATACTTTGATTTAAGCATTCATTAACATGTTATAAAGTGTTTATGTAAGATGTTATGAATGTGTTATGTAGACACTCAAAAAATCTTTCTAAAGCTTAAAGAACATCCGCATGATGTATTTATTTGGTTCTATACAAATTAAAGGAAGTTTGCTAGAACCATCCAGGAATCTGTATAGGATCTTAACATTATCACATCTCAATTACAAAAATGAAACAGTCCATTGAAAGGTTCTGTAGCAGAATCAAAAGTGCTTCTTCTATAGCACCATTCCAAGGAACCCTTCTGGCACCTTTGTTTTTAAGAGTAAAAGGCAGCAAATAATATTATCACGTGCTAATTTTTGCTGTGTATACCAGTTATCCATCATTACATCATATATTATGACACCTGTGCCAACTGACAATTATAGGTAACATGACATTATATTGCTGGGCATAATCTGTCATATCAACTCATGACTGCATACGACATCTGCCATGCCATGTTTATGGCATAGTTATGTCACTGTTATGTAGCTGGGTTAAAGTAAAGCGCTACTCAATACTTCAGCAAATGAGAGTGCACCTCTTGTTGGTTGGTTCTGTGTTTTTCAGTGATTACAGCGAGCTCCAGCTCCACTTTCCTCTTCTCACTGCTCTGCCTGTGGAGCTCCTGAGAGTGCTCCTTCAACTGGACTACCAGCTCTGCATTCTCCTCCTGCAGCTTCTCCAGCTCCTTCTGCTTCTGGAGACACTACACACACCCACACACACTTTAGAACTCATGGCTGATTATACACTACTGTTCAAAGGTTTAGAGACACTTGCCAAATTTTTGTCATTTAATTCCATCATAACCGATACATTATTCTAAACTAGACACCAAAAGATGTTTTATTCAATGTTTCAAGCTTTGTGGAAACAACAAGAAGTTATATAAGAACACATATTTTACAGAAAATTACTCAGAAGCCTCAACAACTAAATATATTTTTTTCAGTGTGTTCACATTTTGCATTTATTACAGCTTCCATTCTTTTCAGGAGTCTTGCTTTTAGTTTTTTTTAAAGAAATCTGCAAGGATGTTTTTCCACACCTCCAAAGTTCAGTCTTAGAAGCTGGTTGCATTTCCTGCTTCTCATGATCCAAGTAATCCAAAGTAATACATTCAATGATGCTGTCTGGACTCTGGGTTGGTCAGGCCATTGTTCAGTTCTGTTTCCTTTTCCTTCCTATTTCCTTTTTTTATACAGCTTTTTGACAACTACACATCCTTTCAGACTCATAGCGTTGAGTTGTCTTCTCACAGTTAATCTGATGAGGACAGTTTTGGTGGTCTACCAAGTCTTGCATGGTTGTTAGGAGTCCCTTTTTCTCCATAGCTTCTGATTATTTTCTGAAGCTCCTGTTTGTTTCACTTATTTGCCTTTAACTTTTCCCTTCCTTTGACAACTGAATTATCTTATATTCAATATCAAGAGAAATATCTCCTGAAAAACTAGTAACTTGTACTTTTAGACAGTTTTGACTGAGAATTAAATAAATGAGGGGTGAACTTTTGCACCGTATCTGCAACAAACTGATTTCATACTACTGAAAACAGTGATTCCAAACTTTTGACATGCAGTGTAAAGAAACAGCAGTGCAATGAGCTGAGGATGACCACAACATGTTTTAAGAGAGTGGGAGATCATGACAAATGTCCATGCAGATAATACCCTGCCTAATAAATGCCATCAATAAAAGAAAAAGAACAAGCTGACTAGCTCATGTTTCTAGCACATCGCTGTCTTTAAGAGAGAGAGCTCAGGGTAATATTTTAGACAGATTTTATTCAGGCATGTATGAATGCACAGACAACATCACTGCAGCACTTGCCTCTTCTTTACAGTCAGCGAGCTGTTTTTTGGCCTCCTGTAATTGCTTCTGGGCCACAGACAGCTTGTTTTCTCTCTTGTGTATCTGTAAACAACAAAAACCCAAGGACAAGAGCCACGTTTATTATTTCATGGAACCAGTCAATCCATACAACATAACATTCTTTAAAATGAATATTACTTTTGAAATTTCTGCTTCTTGTATAATTCCCGTTTTTACAAATTATACAATTCATGATAATTTAATGAGCACAATAAATGCAATTATAGCCGCGCCGGCTGGTGTCCTTGAGAGGCAACAGTGCGGCGTAGGAGGCTGCCTAGGTTATGTATTGTTACTGAAGGGATCTGCTATTGTTTGAGTTTCTCGCTCGCAGCCGCATACCATAATCAGCCTCTTTATATGCTGGGAGTTCATCTCTTCTCTCGGTAACATCTTCAATCTCAGGCTTTGCCAAATCGAGTCGGTTTCTTTAAATGAGATATTAGTTTCAAGCGGCACGCGGAGGGAATGAAGCGTTTCCGTGGATTTCGCCCCGGTTTCCGACCATGACAGCTAAAAATCGTCTAAACACAGAAAAATGTGTCCCCTCCCGTTCGCCATATAGGGCGTCTTATGGAAAGTGAAAGGTCATTTGTAACTGTCCGCAGGATTGATGGAGTTAAGATAGCTCTTTGCCCTTCACCCTGCACTCATGAAGAACAGTCTCAAATGACGGAGCATGGGGCAACTTCACGCTGGACCATTCCTCTCCCCCCCCACCCTGTGCCTGAAAGGAGGGGGTGGCCGGTTGGCCAGCCCAGGGGCCACACGAAAGCACATCCAGATTTAATTACCTCGCTTTCTCCTTCATTAAAGGCTAACCTGTCATCCAATAGCCCACCGTGCGCCGAGCGTCTGCAGTTTGCACTGATTCCTGCGTTGCGGCCACCCATTCAAAGCTATATTCGGAGAACGATTGCTTTTGTGGCCAATGCAAACACGGTCAGGATCAATCGGAACCGGGCTTAAATGTTTTTGTATTGGCCATCTGTCTGGAGCTGATGCCTTCAACGCTGAACCTAAGCAGCAGAGGCATGCGCTTCTGCAGGCAAGGGCAAATGCTACCATTCGGAGTGGATTAGCCATTGCGCATTATATATACGCTAGACCTCATTTCTTAGCCCCAAAGAGTCGGAATCCGCTTAAAATGGCAGGCAAGAATCTTTAAGTAGCCCTACATGACTTATAAATAAATAAATGTCTCCGTTTAATCAGAAATAACTTTAAGGTAACCTAAAAAAACTAGCATTCCAGAGGGCAATGTGTGCGTGTGTGGGCCGACGCTGTGTGTGGCGAATGGCGCATGTCCGTGAATCCAGCATGAGTCTTAAAAAAAGAGTGGGGGGGAAGGAAAACAACAGTTAAAATATTTCAGAGTGCATCAAAAAAGGCTCTTGAGAGAAGTGTATCATATCAGTAGTGCATAATTCCATTGTGTTTGTACATTTCGTGCATGCATAATATATTACGTTCCACACCTTCCTGAGTGTATTTAACAGGTTCATTGTAGCATAATCTCGCAAACCTGACATCTGATGCGCGCCACTGCACTGAGATTGACGTTAACCGTGTCTGAAAACAGGAGGGTTTTAAATAAATAAATAAATGAATGGACCAAAAAAAAAAAGAGCGAGGTGTGAGCGCGTGTGAACTGAAAGAGGGCCGGTGTAGCCTCCTCATGAAACATTAAAAGGAAAGCAGCTTTTATTACTCATTAGATATGCGAGCGTGGCGGCAGAGGAGCTACGCCGTTTGTGTTAGGCTGTTATTATACACCTCATTTCCATTGTACCTTTGTGATCACTCGCGCTCAAATTAAATGTCAACCCAGAGGAGATCATTTAGAAGCGGAGACAAATAACACCAGTTCCATGATCTGCTCGTTTCAGAGAGGGGGGAACTGAGGAGTGGCAGGAGTTCTTCATTAACCCTTTAAAAGCGGCTACTTCTGCCTGTTACTCAACTCTTCTATTTTAAAGGGCCCATTTCATGGAAAAGCAAATTTCCTTCATTGCTTTGCAGAGGTAGTACGTAAAAAAGCACTGTTCAGGTTTTAGAGCATACCATTCATTACGAAGTCCATACAGCCCAAATATGAAAAGTGTGCAGGAAAAACAGCTAGAAAAACACAAAAACCAACTCAATCACATATATCCATCTATTCAGTCTACAGCAGTTTAGCCCCGCCCATTCATATGGAAGTCATAAGGAGTGTTTCAGCTCTGAGTACTTTTGAAATACAGGGCAGCCAACCAGATTATTTTATATCAGTCTTAAAGGAACAGTAACAAAAACAGCCTGTTTAATTCTAAGGGATGAAAAGAGGTTGGAAATGGTCAAAAAATGAAAAATCTAAAACAAAATTATGAGCATTTTTAATATATAAAAGCACGTAAATGTTATAAGTGGACCTGAAGGAATAAAAATACAAGAAAAATTGGGCCTTTAAAGTCAACATGTATCAGATATGCATTTTCCTTCTGTACTGTGACAAATGCTGTATCAGCGAGTGTCTCTAAACTAGCTGAGCCTTTCCTCTTGATGTTAGGTGGTCGTTTTGGGATAGGAAGGTGACAGTGATAGTATTTGTTCATATTAGTTTTCCCCACCTGCTGATGTGTAGTGGCGTACTCAAAAATCAGAAGGTGTGAATAGCATCTTTAATTTGTGTACATGCACATTCAGAAACTATTACAGTCAATCCTACAATAAAGGCATCAAGAAATCTATTTTATTAAAGCAATAAGCCACTGCAGGCTGGTGTTCCAGTGAGTTTACCTTGGTTAAGAGCTGTTGTTAACTGGGATGTGAAAAAGAGTAAAATCACTGTAACGCACAGCCTCGAGCAGCTTAATGCTTTTACAAAAGGCAACAAAATATATGAAATACACTTTTCATGACACACAATATGCATAATGACAATTAAAAAGTTGGAACAGAGAAAAGAAACAGTAGTGCTTAATGTCAATTAAAAAATAGTAGTGGCAATAAAAACTGTGAATGCAATGATTTAGTTCAACATTTCACACCCTACACTAAATCCAGTTAAACAGAACTAACCAAAAACAGAGAGTTGTTCCACACAGAACACAGAGTTCTTTACTTACTGATAATATCCATGATATGCTCAGAAAAGCTTACTGTAACATAATTTATCACAGTAACAATGAATATTGTCATATTGTTCACTCCTACACTCTTAAAAAGATGGTTCTTCAAGGGTTCTTTTGTAAAGACAATGGTTTTATATAGAACCATGAGCACTCAAAGAAACACTTCCATGCCTAAATGGTTTTTTGCATAGTGAAATGGTTTTTCAGGTTGATGGAGAATATGTTGTACATGGTTTTATATAAAAACCTTCTTGAAAATGGTTCTATACAGCACCAAAAAGAGTTCTGCTACTGTTATTATGTCAATCTTGGAGCAACAGAAGACCCCTTTTTTGTGCTATATAGAACCATACACATTCTCCATCAATCTGATGAGACATTTCACTATGCACAGAAGCCATGAAGCATGCATGGCTTGAGTGTTCCTGGTTCTATACAGAACCACTGTCCTTACTAAAGAACACTTGAAGAACCATCCTTCTTTAAGCGCATAGTATAAAGTGCTTTTTGACAGCTCTGAATGTGAACAGATTTTAGAACCAGAACCAGGGGTGGGTGATATGATAATATTTTATCATCATCATAAATTACATCACAGTACACTTTTCTGAGTACATCATGGATATTAGCAGTATTTAAAGAACGCTGAACAACTGCATGCTTCATTACAAAGAGAACATAGTGAGTGTTTTAACTGGATTTAGTGCAGAATTTGTGAAATGTTGAGTGAAAATTATTGTATGGATTTCTTTGTGTTTTTTTTGTGGCACTGCTGGTGCATTCTGTCTATTCCACCTTATTAAACCTCAGAAAAAGGAAATATTAAGGTAAGTATCATGAAATATTGTACTATTTAATAAGTAGTGATCCATTTTACTATGCTTAATGCGGCCCAACTAATCTAGAGTCAGATCTTACCAAGTTAAAGTGAATAAGGACAAAGTCTCTGAATGCATCACTAACGGGACGCGAGGTAACACAGGGTTAAAGTAGGAGGAAACTAAGAATCACGTTATGCGGCGCTGGTCAGGCTGCTGTTGTGCGGTCCGACTGACGCTGCAAAGCATTCACCCCTGATATAAAGGTCAATGATATCTGGAATTGCATTACTGTGCTTTAGTGCAGATGCATTAGGAGTATAATAGAAGTAATGCGAAATAGGTCTATAAACTGCACTCTTCATAAGTTGCGCGCCTGCCATTTTCTTCTCTGACAGACTCCAGACTTTGTTGATTATTTACCTAAGGAATAAGGAATGAACGTCACATAAGGAATGAATGTCAAGAGCAGCATAGACACATCTCAACCACCCACCAACTGGGTCCATCACTCCTAACTTTTAGACAGGAACTCATGGGGTAAAAAAAAAAAGAGAGAAAAAGAATGAAAAAAGCAAAAGAGTCACATTACGGACAGAAAGCCACTCAAATCAAGGAGGAGGTATTTTTAAATCAATCACTTGCGTATCCGTCTCCCCTCCCCTCTCCTCCGTGTGTTCCCCCACTTCAAATGCTGACAGAGAGAGAATCCCAACTGACGTGCAGTCGCTCCATAAAGAGAACAGAGAGAAAAAGAAGGGGAATAAGTGTGATATGAAACCAACCAACAAACAAATCGAGCGACTGTCAAACACATTGAATATTTATGGCTAGAAAAAAAGTGCTCTTTTATCAAGACCTCATGGTGAGATATCAGGTGCGGCGACATTTAGACTGCGGAGGATCTTCACTGAGGGAGAGGCTAAAATGGATCTGTCGAGAAGTGCAAAGTCATTCTGCAAAGTCATTCTGCAAAAACACCCTCTACGCCCCATCGCTGAGTTACTCTGGCCAGTGGGGGCTTCTGGGTAGTGCAAAAAACTGAATCTATCATGGCTCCTGCTGAGGACAGTGTTGAGAGGTTTTGACAAAATCATATCACATCACAATATTTTCCAAACACATCACAGTTACAGATCATATTTCAGTTAGCTTTAAAGTGGGAATCAACCCATTTTTCAAAATTAATGCAGCATTAAATAATTAACAAAGTCATTCAGGCGGGTTCGATGTGAAATGCTTTGTTCTACAGAAACAGAGTTTAAACTGTTCAAAGCGGTTGTGATAGGAACCAGATGTCTGAGGAGTGTAATACCTCTAAAGGCACAGACTCATAGACAGTTATCATATCAAATGGTTATGAATATGCTGTCTGATTCCTGAGACATTGTTTTATGATCATTTTGAAATAAAGTTTCAAAACATTTTTAAAACATGGTGGAGAGGTAGATGCAGTTACAACTATTTTACCATCATCAACAATCAGACATGCAGTCTTATGCAAAAAACTTTAACATTCCCACTCAAATTACATTTTGTTGAATTTCTTTGTGTTACCTTCTGATGACCCTTCCATGTAGATGATGTTTGTCCAACAACACTGCACAGTGGACCAGTGCATTACTATTTCCGTGTCAGCCAAACCTTCCGGTCATTGGCAGTGATGTAGGGGTTTTGCTTTGCATGCCTGGTCGTCTAAGAGCACTACATTCAGAGATTTTTCTTGGCATTCCAGATCTTGTACTGACTGCAACAGTTCTCTTTTTCCTAATGACATTTCAGATAGTGAAACAAACTATCTATCGAGTACAAACACGAAGTGTTTAGATCTTTTATAAACTTGCTTTGTAAGAGACAATTATCATAAGTTTCAGATTCTTAGTCAGTCGCTTAAAATAGTCGATAGCTGTTGAGTTTAAGCACAACACCCTAAGAGGTTTGAAGGATCACATAAATTACTATGCTCTGAATCTGTCTACACATGACTTGTACTAAGGCCCAATGAGTCAAATAAAGTCTGAGAGCCTTACAAAAAAATTAGTGGATCAACTTTGTATGTACTTGAAATTAAGTGATTCCAAACTTTTTAACTGTAGTGCATCAAAATCATTAATTGTAAAAACCGTTATTGCTGTATGACACCGATATCAGAGTATGCGACATATAAACCCAGCACAAGCTAAGACTTTCTTTTAGCACTGATTTCAGAAGAACAAATTACTTTTATTTCTTTTTCCTCTCCTCTAATAGACGTAGGGTCATAAAAACAAAACACCAGCTTTAGACCAAAATGCCCTTCTTATTAATGCAGTATTCAATTAAACAAGTTTAATGCAGCAATATTCGATCAAACTAGTTACAGTGCAAAAAAGCAACAACATGTTATACTAAATTCTTGCATGGACAGGTTAATCCTTTCACCTTAAAAAAAAACCTTCTTTTTGTCTGGAAATGAAAACTGGAGCTTTGGTCCAGCGCTGCTGAAGCAATAAATATCTGAGCGCTTGCTAAACACCAGAGAAGGGGGGAGTTATTTCAAAGCAAAGTGTTAAAGCTATTTGTTCAGCTGCACTAACGCAGGGACTTCTCTGGAACAAAAGCTATTATTGTTCATGCACCCCCCCCTCGAATACTTTTCTTTTTTCCCCCCTTAACAGGAAATGGACAGTGGCAAAGTTACAGTAGTTCAACATATGAGATCAGAGAGAAGGTTTTTGCTGCAAAGCAGAAGCAGATGTGGAGCAGTAACAGGACCCTGTACAAAAATTAATGGCTGTGTTGTTTGCTTGGCAGATTTGAAGATAAGCGTTAGGGGGATTAATTGAGAGAGTACTTATGCTCGGTTTATACACGTTTATACATTGAATATAGGTTGTTTTGTAAGGGTTAAGGGGCTAAAGAGATGGTTATTTGCATGGCGGCAGAATTAAGTGCGTATCGGCAAACGTCTGCGAGAAAATTAGGTTAACCCATCTTAAGCTTCACACTTGGAAGTGCACCCCCCCATCTGAAATTCATTTCAAGTAAAAATAAGAGGACAGCTTTGCTCTGCAGAGAAAACACTTAAAATACCTTCTCCTTTGCCAGTTTGGGTTTGACAGAGCCGCGGCTGTTTTCTTTCTACACAGAGTTAGTCCTCTGTGATTACGAACCTATACTGTAACGCTCTCGTCTCAGGGAATGCCAACACAAATACGTGCTGTCTCTGAATGGTGATATTTAGATAAGACACTGTGAAATTAGTGTAATAGACTCCACATTCCTCTAAACAACACGTCCTGGGAATTCGCCATCACAGGGGAGGAGAAAAGTTCAGAAACGCGCACGCACTTTTCTTTTTCCTTCCCTCGCAAAAAAAAAAATAATAATAAAGGCGGAAAAGAAAAGAGGGAGGCAGGAACAAAAAAAAAGGCACTCTGCTCCCTTTACCTTATTGCCAGCTGCTCTCCTGGTGTCTTTAAGAGTTGCGCTTGCCCTACTTAAAGCCTCCTGCTGCTTGAGAATTTGATCTCGCAGCTGTTGAGATTGTTCCGTCTTTTCCTGTAATTTGGACTTGAGCAGGCCGACTTCTAAACCCAGGCTATTAACTTTCTCCTTGCTGGTCTGCAACTGAGAAAGAGGAGAAGAACATGAAGAAGTAGTGATGAAGAGAAGCTAAACGCCCTTTAAATCAACATGACAATCCTTTTAAGTTACCTGAAACATTCACACTTTGTTTTAAGAATAAAAAGAACCCTGGGTTTAAGAGTTGCTAATAAAAGAGGGGATAAAAGAACTATTAGAGTCAGTCTTCTATAACAGACACATGGTGCTAGGCAAAAGTCAGAGACCACCCTTTATTTATTCAGCTTCTCATCAAAACAGACATACTGTAAGTACATTTCATTTGTTCATGTTATGTTTGAGAAGATTAGACGTAAGATAATCCACCTGTAAGTAAAAAAAGCAATAAAACATGAACAGTTCAAAAAATATGTATTAAAAGAAGATAGAGAGAAAACGAGACTCCTAATAACTGTGCAAAACCTGATAGACCACCACAACTATACAGTACTTAAAGCTTTCATCTTTGAGAGATCAGGCTTTGGAATCCAGCTTTGCTAATCAAATAAAGTAGCTGCTGGCGGTCTCAGAACAATGGATTGACAACCCCCAACATCACTGAATGTGTTTGGGATTCTCGGACTGTAAGAAGCAGAAAATATAACCAACTTCTAGGACTGAACTTTGGACGTGTGCAAAAATATCCCTGCAGATTTCTTTAAAAAAAACTGAAAGTAAGTCTCTGAAGACTCTGGTAACCTAAAGCTGTGTTTTCTTTCTAATTACATTAATCTTGTTCTTGCAGGCAAACAGTAAACATGTACTACGTATACTCTTCAAATAATGTTCCAGTGACCAATAAATGACCGATATATTTCACTAATCTTCTCTGCTCTCAAAGTAAACTGGGCGCTCCTAATCTTGGGTAATGTTTCCGTAAGCATTCCCCTGACCAACCACAGGGCTCATGTCTCTTGCCCCGCCCACACATCAGTTTCAGAGTTAGAGAAACTTTGTTAGCTAAAGCTAACCCAGCATAAGCTAGCAAGTTAGACCACTGTAGCTGTCTGTCGCCTGTTCATTCGTTTGTCCACGTACGACCACGGTTTGTTTGTCTGTTCTTTCATTTCATTCACACACTGCTTCGTCTGTCCATTTGTTTGTTCATCTGTCCATCTGTCTGCATGTCTCATCTGTTCCTTTGCACACTGCTTCAACGGTCCATTTGTTCATTCGTCCATCCATCTGCACATCTGTTTGTCAGTGACTTTTTCCTCCAGTTACCGTCACATAAAAGCTGGACAATGATTTCATGTATGAGTGGCAGAGTGGGCTAGGAGTGTTGGACAGAGAGCTATCAATCAAGCTGCTCATAGGCCACACCTACACTGTTTTCAGAGAGGTCTGATCAGCGGTTTCTAACCTGTGGTTTATCATATTTGTATCTTATATTTATCTATTATTCAAGCTGCATGTTTTATGTAACACTCACGTTTAGTATCATATAAACATTTTTAATATTTTACTCCCAGTGGAAGCTGTAATAAAGGCAAAGCATGGACACATTGAAAAAGTGGATGTCATATTTAGTTGTTGAGGCTTCTGTGGAATTTTCTGTTGAACATGTTTTCTGCTACTGTGAAATAAATAATTTGTACTTAATGGCAGTTTTGACTGGAAATTAAGTAAATGAATGGTGGTCTCTGACTTTTGCACAATAGTGTGGACATACACAAAAGTCTCTATGCAGATTTCTCTCCAGCCCTGCATGCAAAATCCTCCACTCTGCCAGAAAAACGGCCTTGAATACATAGATTTCTGCTCGAGCAGCATCTCTGTATCAATAAACAGCATGTCCGCAGAGCCTGTGTAAATAAAGATGCACCTGTACGGCATGTGGTTTTACATGAGGACCGTGCTGCGAGAATAACAGAATTCAATACGAGGGGACAATACCGCAGTAACACGCGTATCGATCTATTCACAGTTCATTGCGGATTACTCAGTGCTGTTCCGCTATTCATCTATTCCAACAGATATCAATTATTAAAACACAATACTATTCAAACCTGATCTACTGATCGTGGTTGCTTTTCAATCTTGCATTAGCGAGGCAATTAAAGCAAAGAGCTGACCGCAATCTTAGGGCATTCTGAGGGGAAAAAAAGCCTATTCAGAATGTACCAAGGCACTAAGAAACAGAGCTTTAAAGGTTATCCTATGATACACAATCAGCAGCAGTTAGAATCAAGTGACTTTGTTTTGTCAAGGACAAAGTGTTTGGCCACTCTAAATGAGCGAGCCCTCATCATCATCCCAGAGAAAAAAAAAAGTGCTTAAAGGAAGAACCCAAACCCAATTATATTCATCATTAGTATGCTTCCTTAATGTTCTCATTTATTATTCAATGGGAGCCATAAAAAGTTAAATTCACTATTTCACATCTTGCTGCTAAATGATATTCAAATGAAGCAAAAGTCCTTCATTTGCTCTGCACAAAGCCAATCCTCGGCGGATCTGAGCGTGGCCGCACTCCATTATTGAATATCGGCCGCGATAAACAGGAAGATTAAAACGAGCGGTATTCCCAGGTCCGCTATGGGGGGTTCTGTACCTGGTTTTGGAGGCTCTGAAGGGTGTGGCCGTGCTCTTTAACCGGCTGCTGCTCTTTCCCAGCCAGGGTCCTCCTCACGCAATTCTGAGTGGCCTGTAGAGAGGTTGTGTCCAGCTGCAACTGCCGCATCCTCTCCTCTCGCTCCCGCAGCTGGACACACAGCACAGCAATCAGGGTTAACAAGGGGAGGAAACAGGGGATGGACGACATACAGTTGTATGCAAAAGTTTGAGCAATCCAAAAAATGAAATATGCCATTTTTCTGCAAACCTCTGTGCACAAGTTCTATTTATTTGCTGAGTTTAACATTGAAACACCAAAACATGTACCATTACTTTTGAACAGGCCACATTTTATGCTTTATTTTTTCCCAATGTGTTAAGTTCAGTAAATAAACAGCATTTGTGTATTAAAAAGTGCAGAAGTGTGTTCTCTGTAGAGGACAGGTTGATTCAATTTTCCTTAGAACACCAACAAAACAATCGTATGATATCATTTAATCTTCTTGGATGAAAAACACTTCCAGGGGAAAATTCAGGGGATAAAGTTGTGTAATTTAGATTTTCAGTGAACTGTTCCTTTAAGGAAGAGACTTTGTCTAAGATTTTGTCTTTTTGTTAGAAAACTGCAAAAATTCCAACAGAGCACAACTGGACTTGTTTAACTGTATATAACTGTATATAATCCTGTACTGTACTGTATGTAAAATATTTGTTCATTGATAAAATAAGACACTTACACAGCTTTTACTAAAATGATCTAATTAAACTATTGTTGCATTGCGTCTGTTTCAAATGATCAAATATCAGAGGAATGAAATATCATGGTATATTGTGTATTGTGAAAATGTATAAAGGCTATACTGTATTGTGTTTAATTTTAAAGGCTAAATAGTAAGTATTTCTCTTTTTGCTATTCAACATTTAACCATATTCATCATCATCACTGTTTACAGATATTTATGTAGTGCCTTTCCCAGGCCTAACGTTGCTTCACGAGAAATAATCATTGATTTTTACATTACAGTTTCTTTAACTAACATCACTCTGCATTAGCCAACATTAACAAGCCATAAACTTGAGTATTAATAAACCACATACAATGTTAAGTGTTAAGAACTGGGATGCTAATTAGGGGTTTTGGATTAAGGTTAAGCAGTAACACTTTCTTTTACAGCCCCCTAAGTTCTAGGTATTAACCAAGTGTGGGGTACACACTCAAAAGTACTAGGTAGTTATTTTGAGTAACACATTTCAAGACAGTCTAACTATATTAGACAAAACGGCCAACAGGTTCTAGATATTAACTTTGGACGTGTGTGATACAGTCTTGAAAGTAAAATGTAACCAGAGAGTCTAGAAAAATTACAGTGGAATGTGTAACACATTGTAAATATTAAGCAGATAAAGGATAGTAAACTATGTCATGAATAAATTATTATTTGTAATATTAAAAAGGTGGTAAACCTACATTTCACTGTACTGTCATGTTTAACCCTGAGAACCCGAAGTCCGCAATTTGCAACCGTTTGCAAAACGGTAGGTAACTTCTAGCCTTCATAACTTCAGAATGGTTTAAGCTACAGACATGATACACATATCAGACCATTCAGCAGACCCGGCCCAAACTAGCTAGCACAACTAGCTAGTCATTGAGCATGAGCGAGTAATTCAGCTTGGAAAATCACCCCAAATCCTGATGTTATTGCTCTGTTTTTTGGCCCTTATATTCCAACAAAGGGCTAAAACAGTGACATGATTCACACATCAGATCACTCATCAGCACATCCTGCCATCACTAGCCAGAGTGAAGTTAGCACAAACACTTTAATATATAAGAAACTCACATAGTACTTTACATAGTGAAAGCGACTTTGAATCTGGGCCGTAAAAGAAAGGAATGACTATCACTATGGTTTTACTGGGTCCTTACCACATACTTAGATTTTCACAATTTACTTTCCTGCCTAAACACCTGTCATTACAGTGAAATTTGCGTATGCTGGTAGTTACCACCTCATTAGCGTGGCAGGTGTAGGATTCTGGAAAAATTAAGCAGAATCTAACAGGCATTTAGCTCCAAGTTAAAGATAAGGTGAGCATCTACAAAGACCCTACAGTGGATCATTAAAATAAGTGTTATCTTTATGCTTCGATTAATCAGGAAAAGAAAAGGTGTGGCCAATTATTACAATTATTACTCCTTCTACACAATGTCCTTTCAAACATAAAACACCTAGCCCACCTTCTAAATCATACCTTAGGATGCCTCCTACACTGCCCTCAAAAACACTATTTCACTCAGTTTGAATGATGCAGAAACAACAAAGGAGCCACGCATGAACAAATCTCGAACAAACAGGGCAGTCCGAGTACTATTATGGAGGCAGTTTGATTGTACAAGAACTTTGCACTGCTGCACTGTTAGAAATAAAGATTCTGTTCAGGTACATTTTTTTGTTCATCAAAGTACAAACAATGTAAATGTGCCCTCAAAGGTACAACAGTGGCTTTAAGATCCAACTGTACACCTTAAATAATTTTTCCAGGTGAAAAGTACAGATTTGTATCTTTTCATAACCCAATGTTTTAAAACTGAACAATCAAATAAAAAGCCTGGAGACGAGATGGGGTGTGTGGAGTCAGTACAACTTAGAAAATATAATTTTAAAGGATTATGGTTCAGTTATGTTCCCTGACTAAAGGTACTGAGATGTACCCTTGAGGGAACCACCCCAGTGACAAGAGGGGCACTGCCCCAGTGACAGTTTAGCACCTTGATTTCTGAGAATGTATTCGTGTGACCTCTCCTCTAATGATTAAGTAGAGATAAATTAGTGTGGTCAGTAACATCAAACCTGATATTACTGAACATACTGAAGCAGCCTGGTCATCAGCCACGTCAGACAGGAAGGGCCATAAAACAAGTTTATCACTTCACAACAGCAATAACCATACACATGATGTCAGCGTTTTCAAAAACATCCACCTGAAAACACAGAAAACTGTTTTTAAAATCTCCATGCTGGAGCGAGTTTTCCAAAGCTCAGTTTCCAGTGATCTAAAATATCACTCATGCGGGCGGGAGGCCAAAAACGCAGAGAATAAAAGTACACATTCAAAAAATATCACTAGTTCCCATTTTCATATCTGAGCAGTGGACGAGTAGGTCTGTGTGCATTAGCACACTAGCAACAGTTTAGCCATGCAGTAGAGCTGGGCAATATGCCAGTGCCGTTATCGTGATAGATTACATCACAAAGCGCTTTTCTGAGCATATTGTGGATATTGTCTGTACTTACACTTTCCAACTGCCCTTTCACTGCCCATGATAGTGTACAATGTTAGATAAGGGAACCAATGCAAAGCACTACCCAACAAACGTACATAGATATCACGAAAAAAAAACCTGAACAAGTAGGGATGCATCAAAAATTCAGCCGCCAAAAAGGGAAAAATGGCTGAAAATTTTGAATGGAAAAAAAGCAAGTAAGAAGTGTCAAATCTGAGGGTTTACTAATAATTTTATGTCAATGAAAATGGGAACTAGTGATATATAAAATATTAATAAGTATATAATAAATAAGTCTAGTCAAATTATAAAACCAATAAAAGCACAAGGCAGCTCTCCAACATGATTAAACGCTAGCTGGTGAGAGCAAAAAAAAGATCTTCCGCAGAGATCTAAACAGCAGAAGTGTTAAAAAGCCATCCAGTGTTAATTCCTGTTAATGTTCCTTAGAATCAAATAAGATAACTACGACATGAACCTAACAAAAACAGCCCATCTGCATTTTCACAAGAAAATCAGTTATCACTCACAACTTCACGTAAAGAAGAAACAGTCAAACTTTCTGAGGTGCAAAGTCTGAGTGAGATTAAGAAAAGCTACCGTCAGTTTATAAGACACATCAGGAAGCAGAGCTGCTCTGTATGGGGAGAGCTTGTTGACAAATAGCACGCTAGTAAATTCCACATCACTGTCAGGTCTGCAGCCCTCGCCGAAGAAACGTGAAGAAACAGCAGAACCTCTTTCAAAAGCTAGCAGGTAAACTGGGAATTCTTGAGGGGGGGATGAGCAGAGTGAAGAGTTTATGGAGGGGAAAAAAATTCAGCTTTCAAACACCCCCCTAACTCCAAAAGCTGCTTCTTCTGATAGCTAAAGCACCAAAACATTTCTGACAACAATGGCTGATTTTGAACACCTGGCTCTTTTAAGTTGCGGAGCGCGGGCTGGCGCTGACTTAAGAGTCTGCTCCAATGACAACTGCATCTGTACCGAAGGAGAGATTAAAGTGTTCCAGCACATTCTGTCCATTAAAGCAATACTTATGGGAATGTGTTTAAAAAAAAAAAAGAAAAAGAAAAAGTCTATTACTAAAACATGGTGCAGGATTTGTCTTTGCAACACAAGCCGGCTTTAAAACGTGCACTGTCAGACGGAATGCAGCCATCATTCAGTCAAGACCAAGAGAGAGGGCAAAATGTCTGCTGTTTCATCAAAACCAAGAGGAGCAATTGGACGTGATGGCCATCAAAGACGAGTGGGCCCACCAAACACCCTTTAGTGAGAGAAGGGGGGGTTAAAAATCAAACGGAATACACACTAACCAGTACAGGATGTCCTCTGCTCAAACACACTGAGCGTTTGGACAAATCTCAGATTTCATCATAAAGAGAACAATAAGCTTGTGTTGCGAGCTGTGACTTATTGCGGCAGACAGTTTTAAAGTAAGCACTCTCGCCCAAGAGAGAGAGAGCGACTGTGGTGGAGAGAGCAGGGCCTGAACGGTTCGAGCCCCAAGAGGACACCCACCCAGCAGACAGAGCGGTGACGCAGCGGCTACACAGAAAGTGTGAGTGAGCCAGATACTTTAATGTCTCTGAACACACACACACACACACACACACACGCACACACACACACGCACAATAGTTCTAGTCAGAGCAGATGGCAGAGGCTATGAAGGTTCACTGCAACTTCAGGAATAGAGGAGAGAGGGAGAGATAAAGAGAGAGAGAGAGAGAGAGAGAGAAAGAGAGAGAGGTGCAGACAGAGATGGATGAGAGAAAGAGGAAGAGAAAGAAACAGAACAGATAGAAAAATACAGAAAGAGAAAAAAGATACGGAGAGAGGAATAAAAAGAGTAA